ACCGTGGATGAGGTTCAGGGCTGTTGACCCTGTCAATATTGGGATTTGTAGTACAGTTAAAATCCCCACCAATGACAATTGGTTCTTGTCCAACCTCATTTAAAAAGCCTTTTAAAACCTTAAAGAAATCCAGGCGCTCTGTCCCATCAGTAGGGGCATATACATTTATTAAGTTAACCAGAGAGCCATCCAAATTAACAAGCACATGCAACAACCGACCTGGAACCACATTATTAACACTTAGTACCGGTACTTTAATATTTGAATTGGGTTTTATAAGAATAGCTACACCAGCTGAGTGTGAGTTACCATGTGAAAAAAGAATAGGAGCCCTCCAGACTATTTGCCATTGGGGCTCATCAGAAAGAGTGGTATGGGTTTCCTGGAGGAAATAAAAGTTACTTGGGTGGTTTAGCTTGAGAAACTCAAATATTTGATACCTTTTCATAGAATCGCGGCATCCGCGAACATTCCATGAGACAACAGACAAGCATGCCATAATTGCAAGAAAGTGAGACATTGTGCGCATGTCAGAAATGTCGTAGCAATCAAGAGGCTATGTCACAATTTATTTACCTTATTTTGTTTTACCGTGGGGATTGGAGAGAATCCCTTGTTTTTTGTTTAACAATTCCTCTTTTGTGGTTTCTTCATTTTGGGTTGTGAGTTGCAGACGTGATCCCTTGAGTACATGCTTACTCAGCCGTAAAGTCATGCGTTGAATCCGTATTTTTTCTTTGCTAGGTAACTCATTATTTTTTCTAAAATGGTTTAGAGAGTGAAACAGTAATTTTAGATCCGGGCAAAACTGCTTAGATCTTTCAACCAGTTTTCTGGAATTGTAGGATTCCTCCAAAAATGTAGCCACGGACTCATGAGAAAGCAATGTTTCTTTTCCTTTTTCTAATTCTGAAACCTCTTGCATAATGGTAGACAAATCAGACATGTCAGATGCCACTGAATCCATGTCATCTTTTTCCTCTGCAGGGTCAGGTGGGTCAAATTGCTTTCTGTTGAAGACATCCAAAGGCGGCTCTATCACAGGAATGTGGGGTGAGTGGGGGGTTAGTACCCCGCATCGTCAATTACAGTGACGTCTGAAGGCAGGTCAAGAGAAAAATCGCAAGAAGTGGAAGGAGTAGCAGTTTCAGTGAGATCGTCTGTTGTTTGAGTGAGTGGTGTATTGTTGCCAATGGTTACACTGTTTTCAATGGGTTCATTAACATCACAAACGGTGACACGCGTGGCTAATTGTTTATCAATTGTAGTAGTGTTTTCATTTGAATTATCGTTTATCTCGATTTTATCTAATGTTTTACTAATTTGATTTTCAGTTAAATCGTGTGTTTCATTGGGTATAAACCCAATGTTTTCTGTTGCAGAAATTCTTTCGTTATTGTCAGTTGATTTGTTATTTGTCATCGGCACAAGTGGCGGAAAACTTTCGGTTTTACTTTCCATTTCTACACTAGTGCTTTGATTATTTTGATGATTAATGAAGCGTGTATTGTTGTCGTTTTTTTCACGACAGTTCCTCTGAATATGGCCTTTTTTATGGCAGTTATGACACACAATGTCATCAGTTGAGAGGTAAATCTTGTATTTCCTTTCTTCATAATCCACGGTAATTGAGCCTTCAAGTTTCTCATTGGTAATCATGTAGACTTGCCTACGAAATGATTTCACATGTTTAAAGGTAGGATGTTTCAAGCCCAAAGGAATAATACGAATGGTTGACACCACACGACCATAAGATGCCAGTTCCCGTTCAAGTAAATTATTCGGGATGAATGGTGGAACTCCTGATAGAACGACTTTAGTTGCCGGTTTTACAAGCGGCTCAACATAAACAAAAGAATGACCAATTGTGCTCAAACCAGCTGCACAACATTCCTCGACTGATTTTATGGAGTCCAGAAAAACAATCACGCTTCCACTAACCCTGGAAGCAGCCACAATATTTTTTGAATCGATTACCTCAGAAATAGCACGAACGTAACTTTCGATGCCAACACCATCGATGGATTCGCATTTAATGCCATGTTTGCGGGTCAAACCCGCAAATGGATTGCCACGTTGTTGACTTGTGGGGGCCGCCATCTTGGCTGCACCGCCACGTCAGTCAAACTGAAAGCGGAAAATGAAAACTAAGAAAAGCACGGCAGATTTTTGCCAAAAAACCAAAATAGCTCAATAAATGAAGGCGGGAAACATTAATAAAACAAATTAAACCACAAACAGTACTCACAAAAGTCTTTGACAGGTGAAATTCGCTCAAAAATCAGGAGCTCCAGAGACAGCGTGTGTATGCTAATTTACATACATACATACATACATACATAAACGTATTTACAAATTAAAACTCGCTAAACTCGCGAGTGGAAAAATTAGCTAAAATCGATAAAGAAGATAAACGAACGATTACGAATTAAAAGGTAAGGTAGGTAACGATTATACAGTAAAAGTTGAAGTTAACACAACGGAATAACATGATACGAGTAAACAAAATAACGAGTTGTATAAATGAATAATTAACAAAGTAGTAACAATAGCGTTTAATAACTGAGTTAACTAAAGTTCATATGAAAATAATAACGGTCTTCTTTATCGATTTGAGGTAGTCTTTTCCATTGTAATATGGTTGGCATGTGGTGATCTCGGTAAGTTGTAGCACTATATACGGGTTCCATCTTCAGGTGATTCCGTCTGCTATTTCCAGCTGTTTGTCAGTTACTATGGCGATGGCATTGTTGATGCAGTATAGATCGGTGAATAATTGAATGGAATTGCTGAGCAGATAGTAGTTAAACTCATTTGTCAACCGATTTCTAATCCTAGTTTTAAAGCACAGTAATGCATCAGTTTGGTCAAGATCTTTAAGCTTGTTATAGCGCGTAACGTGTATGGCCACCTTGGCCGTTGTAAATAGGTAGCATAACAATCTGTGCTCGTTGGTTATTCGTCTTGGTGTGGGCGGGCCAAATAAATACCACGTAAGAGGGATACCGTTTTGGTG